GACCACCATGCAGGTAAAGAGACGGGCTTGCACATTCCGGCACCTCGCTGCCTTTGGACTCGGCAGCCTTCAACCCCTTTCCCCTCTTCAGAGAATGAAAAAGCAAAGCAAACCCCAAGCAGACTCCGCGTGCTTGCAGAGGGCAGCAGCTCAGCACAGCGGTAGCACAGCCCTGCTCACCTCTGCGCCTGGAGCTCCGCGCTGCGGCAGGCCCAGGCCGTGCTGCTGGAGCCAGCACGCTGTCTCCGCTCTCAGCCCTCGCTCTCTTGTTGGCAGGCAGCTGCACTGCTGCTGGTGTCCCTTCCTCCAAGGCCTTGCGTTTGCATCCAGCCTGGGCCTTGGAGACGGAGCGGGGGCATGTGGCAGGGGAAGCTCTTCCCCCTGTGCTGGGACCTGCTCTTCTAGGAAGCCCTCCAGCCTGGAGAGGAGCTTGAGCTGCTGCCTGTTGACAAGCTCTCTCCGAATGCACCTGCTGCACCACTTTCACATAGATATCGCCATTGGGCTCAGCACCGATCTCTGTTAAGGAAGGAGAAGCAGCAAGAGTTAACAAGAGCCCAACGCTACTTTCAGTCTGCAGAATGGGCTGCAATGCTGGGACATCTCATCTGGAGCGCCCCAAACCCCGATGCCTGTTGTGTGCTGTACCTCTCTTGGGTGCCCTGTCACACTCGCTGCTCCTCCCCTGCCTTTCCGCATGGCTGCGCTTCAGAGGAAGGCTGCTGGCATCAGCTTCTGACAGAAAACAAGAAATACATGAAGAGCATCTCCTTTGAGGAAGAACTCAGCACAGTCAGACACAAACTTCTGGTCCTCAAGCGCAGCTTCTTCAATTGGCTTTTCCACTGCTTCGGCACTGTGCCACTTCTGCCATCAGCACAGAACTGCAGTGCCTTTCTTCTCTCCTCCATCACGCACAGCCCTGCTTAGAGGCAGTACCCACACCACAGCTCACAAGAGCTTCTTACCTGCGGAGGCTTTACGTTTCCCCCCAGGCCCAGCACCATCCCACAGACGCGCAGGCTCCGTCCCTGTAACAACAGATGGAGCGTGATTTCACAGACACCAGGAGCAGCACTGTCCCGTTAGCCCATGTCCACCCCCGAAAACCGAAAGACAAACCAAAACAGAAGCTGATGGTTAAACTGCAGTGCGCTTACACAAAGCATTACTGCTCTCATTCCTGCTCAGATGGCAGCAGAGCAACCCCGGTCTGCCTGACAGCTCTGCATTCTGCAGAGCAAAGGTGCACCAGCAAACAAAATGCTGTCAGGGGTAAAAGCTGAGGAAGGTATTTTTTGGCCCTAGAAGGAATTCACTCAGTTCCCAGCACCATCATGTACACACAGACATCTCTCTGACTGCTGCCATCCACTACCACTGTTGGCATCTTTAACGCTTCCACCATGGTTCCTTGACATCCCTGCAGCACTGCACCTGCTCAGCAGTAAGACTTAAAATGCATTCTTCCATCTGTCATGGCAGAGGACTGCAGAAACTCACTTTTGCATGGCAGTGAGGACGGCCCGTCCCCATCGCGTCCCTCTGTGTGCTGCCAGGCGCTGCCGGATCTCTGGCAGCCTGCTGGCTGCTGCTCCCAAACGCGGGGAACCGCGCCGTGCTGCTTCTGAGGAGGGAAAGGAAGAAACGTTGGAGGGAACGGGCAGCCAAGGTTTGCAGAGAGGTTCCAGGCTGTGCCGGAGATGGGATAGCAGAGTGCTGGGACGTTATTTATCGCTAAGGGAAAATAGGGCCTGAGCCGTGTCCACGCCATCAGCCCACGCTGTCAGCAGGGAGCACAGAACCCAACTGGTTACTGAGGTCACAAAGGACCTGCAGGGCTCCCCCTGCTCGGCCCCTTCCCTTAAAAATGAGAAAAAGGAAGAAGAGCCAAGCAAAAGAAACCCAGCCGTACCTTTCTTGTCACACACTCCATGTCTCCTCACTGAGACATGACTGCTGTCTCAGAGGAAGCTGAAGAGAGAGCTTTCTCTCTCTGCAGGAACTTCCCTCGCTCCTGGAAAGACCTGGCTCCACTCTTCCTGACACTGCCTTGATCTTTGAAACTCCGTTTGGACAGGAGCCCTGCAGAAATTATCAAGCGAAACATCATGAGGAAGAAGCATTTTCCCAGCTTCTGCCATGCGATTTGGTCCCTTGAGGAGGACAATGTCTGGAAATCAGCTGGCTGCAAGAGCTGCCTAGTGCCAGCTCCAGCTCGTGTCTGACTGCCACGGCTGGTGCCAGCAGGTGCTCTTCTCCATCTCCTCAGTAGCTCTGCACCCAGCCATCCGTGGGGCACGAGGCACAAGTTGCACTGTGCAGCCTGCACTCTCCTTCCTTTTTAATGTCTGACATGAAGGGAGGGGCCCAGCAGTGGATTTCCAAGGGAGTAATGACATTTCGTTGTCCTCATCGAATTGTGGGAGGGAATCTCAACCAGAACCCGTCTCCCCTGGACACAGCCGTGCTGAGGGGCACCCGCTGGAGCTGGGAACTCCTGCCCAGCCCCGCTTTCTGCTGAGACACCTCCCGGCACCCACCCAGCACCAACCCAGCTCACCTGCTCGCTGCTCACCCTGAGCCGTGCCCAGCTCACGCACACGCCGCAGCGCTGCTTCCAGTGGGCTCTCACAGCTGATCTCTCTCAAGAAGGGCTCACAGCTCAGTCTGCGTGCAGCACGCTTGCCACAGCCCCAGCTCTGCTCCCAGCTGTGCCACAAACGCTCCCAGACCGGGAACCACTGTGACCTCAGTGACGGCCCGCATGGCTTCTGTGCCTTCATCATAAGGGAAGGAGACGGACGCCTCCCAGATCCAAATGGCAGGAAACCAACACCAGGTCACCCGGTGGGGCTCTGTGACGTGAGATAACGGAGGAGTGGGGATGACTCTTGTGCATGCAGCCCAATAAAAACCAGTGAAGACCAATATGGCCTCGTCGTGGTCAACGGAGCCCCAGGGGAACCAGTAGAAGCAATAGTGCACATCTGTGTGCCCAGGGCCGGTGCTGGCCTCTGCCTGTGGCTTTGGGCCCCGGGGCCGGTGCTGGTCTGTCTGGCTGGGGCTTCAGGCCCTGTGTCCAGGGCCAGCATCTCTGGCTGTGGCTGTGGCTTTAGGCCCCGGGGCCGCTGTCAGCATCCCTGGCTGTGCCTTCAGGCCCTGGGCTCTCTGTCTGTGGCTTCAGGCCCCGCAGCTGGTGCCGGCCTCTCTGTGGCTTTAGGCCCCAGGACCCTTCCAGCCTCTCAGGCTGTGGCTGTGTCTTTCCACCTGTGCTGGCCTCATGGCTGAGGCTGTGCCTTCAGGCCCTGGGGCCGGTGCTGGTCTCTCTGGCTGTTTTTAGGCCCAGGGCTGGTGCTGACCTCTCAAGCTGTGGCTTTAGGCACTAAAGCTTGTGCCAGCCTATAACAGCACGCACTTTAAAATAGTTCATGTAAGTAAATGAAAGCAGGAGAATGCTGAGCTCTTCTGGGTCTTTCTAGAATTGGGACAGAGACGGGAGAGCTCAGCCATGTGCACTTGGTTGTATGCAGCAATCTCTACCACATTTGCAAACGTCGATAAATCCTTGTTATCCTGCTTTACAGGAGTAGGGTGTGACAAGAAGCCAATGACTACCAGTTTACAGGAGGTAATGAATTTAAAGTTTCCCTTTTTCTTCCCTTAGCACTTAGCTTACAGAGTTCTCCTGTGCCAGGTGCTGGTGTCATACCTCTAAGCCACAATATTGATGGGCTCAGCTGCCACCAACTGGTAGCTACTGAGCCACCTTGTGTGTGAAACGAGGAAGAAACGCCATTCTGAACCCACAGCACCTCAAAGCCCCTTCAAGAGCCCCCAGTACTGCCCTGAGCCCTCCAGTTTTCCCCACTGACCCTTCAAAGTCCCAGGAGTGCCAGCAGCACCTCGTGCCTTAGGATGCCCGGTGGATTTCACAAGGATGCTCTCATCTCCTGCATTGTGATCAGTGGCAAAAGTATCCAACGGCGCTGACCGGAGCTGGGGGCTCAGCGGTGACATACAGGGAAACCTGCTGTGCTGCAGCGTGAGCCTCCGGTCCCGCTGCTGGGCACCGCCGGGCGCAGCCCGGCTCCGTCCTCTGCGCAGCTCCCTGCACGGACCGATGGCCGCGCCCGGGATCGCCCCGAGCCTCCTCTTCTGCAGGCTGAGCCGCCCCAGCTCTCCTGGAATCCCACCCCAGCCATTTCCCACGCGGTGCCGAGGAGGGGAGGGGACGCGGGGGGAGCGACGGGGCCGGCGCTCGCAGTGCTACGACACGGCCGTTTGCGCCGCCCCGTCCTTACCCGGCGGTGGGCACGGGGACGGGGCGGGTTATTGGAGCTGCAGAAACGACCGCGGGCAGAAGCGCCGAGAAACGAACGGGAAACGTTTAATCGACGAACACCCAGAGCGACAGACAAACGACCGCGTTCCCAACCGGCTCCCGTGCAAACGGCAACTCCGGAGGACGGCTCGGTGCCGGCGGGGACGGACGGGCCCCCGCGCCGCTTTCCTCCGACGGCCCGAGGCATAGGGCGGGTGGCGGCGGGGACGCGGAGCGGCGGAGCGCCGCTTTCCCCGCACGGAGCCTCGCGACTCCGCCGGCGCGCCGGCAACATCGCGGCGGCCCTGCGGCCGCGGCCGCCATTAGCGGAGAGCCCGCGCTCGGTCCCGCCTCCGCCGCGCTGCCATTGGTCGGCCCGCGGAACGGGGCGGGCGCTGCGCGCGGGGTCCTTTCCGCCCGCGGTCGCGCCGTCATTGCGTCATCACCGCGCGTCCCGCAGGGCCTCGGCCCGGCTGCCCGTGGCGATGCCTGCGGTTGTTGCGTTGCGGGAACTCAGCGCAGCCTGCAGAGAGCGGTCCGGCAGCACGGGAAGATGGCGGCCGTGCGGTGCGAGTGCCTCAGCGGTGTCTGCAGCCCACGATGAGCCGAGCGGGGCCGGGAAGAGGAAGCCGTGGGAGGCCCGGGGAGGGACGCGCAACGGCAGCGTCAGCGGCGGGCTCGGCTGCTGCCTCCTCCGCTCCTGACGCCGCGCGCTGGCGCACTTTGAGAAGTGCCCAGAAGCCGGAGCCCGCTGTCACATCTGTGGGGTTCCACGGAACGCGCAGACTTGGGGTGAGTTGAGGTTGGATATCAGGACCAACTACTGTACGGAAAGGGTTGGTGAGCACTGCAGTGGGCTGCCCAGGGAGGGGGTTGAGCCACCATCCCCGATGTGTTTAAAAATCGTCCGGGTGCGGTGCTCAGGGCGCCGTGATTTAGCGGAGGGAGCCTGGAAGGAGCGGTCCTTGAGAGCAGCCCTGCGGAGAAGGACCTGGGGGTCCTGAGGGATGAAAAGCTGGACATGAGGCAGCAGTGCTCCTGCAGCGGGGAAAACAAGTGGGATCCTGGGCTCCATCAGCAGAGCGGTGGCAGCAGGGACAGGGAGGTGATCGTCCCCCTCTGCTCCACTCTTGTGAGGCCCCATCTGCAGCACTGCACCCAGGTCTGCAGCCCCCAGTACCAGAAAGACAGGGAGCTGTTGGAGAGGGTCCAGAGGAGGGCCACGAAGATGATCCGGGGACTGGAGCACCTCCCCTGTGAGGACAGGCTGGGGGAGCTGGGCTTGTTCAGCGTGGGGAGAAGAAGGCTGCGGGGTGACCTCACTGCAGCCTTTCAGTACCTACAGGGAGCCTACAAACAGGAGGGGAATCAACTCTTTGAAAGGGTAGATAACTGCAGGACAAGGGGAATGGTTTGAAGTTGAGGGAGGGGAGCCTGAGGTTGGATGTCAGAGGGAAGTTCTTTACAGAGAGAGTGGTGAGGTGCTGGAACAGCTGCCCAGAGAGGCTGCGGATGCCCCGTCCATCCCTGGAGGTGTTCAAGGCCAGGCTGGATGGGGCCCTGGGCGGCCTGGTGTGGTGTTGAATGTGGAGGTTGGTGGCCCTGCATGTGGCAGGGGGTTGGAGATTTGTGATCCTTGAGGTCCCTTCCAGCCCTGGCTATTCTGAGATTCTGTGAGGCTTGTTAGAGTTAGGGCAGTATGGTCAGGCTGCGGTTGAACTCGGTGCTCTTGAAAGTCCTTTCCAACATGAGTGATTCTGTGATTCTGCGGGACGCTGTGTGCTGGATTGCTGTTCGTTGCAGAGCAGCAGCACAGGGCAGGACTGGGGACTGGGAAGATGGGGGTGGTGAGGGCAGTGTGCGGCCGTGGGCTCCTCCGGCGGTCCCAGGAAACATCTCCACGTGTCTGCGGCTGCGTGGAGGTGTGCGCGTCTCCTGCTGTACCAGAGATGGAGGGGATGGCGCTGACTGAGGGCAGGGACTGGAGCAGCACAAAGGCGCCGTGAGGCGGCCGCAGTCAGTCCGGCCGCAGCACAGACAGATGGCGCTGCGTTGGGTTTTCTTTCTGCCGGCTCTTTTGCACTCACAGCACTTCTGCCTCCCTCCTCTGTTGTACTGACCTTGCTTTTGTGCTGCGATTTGCTTGTTTAATAGCCCTGCTTCCTGCTTATCGCCGTGCTGTACAGTCACAATCACTTCACCAGCAGCTGTTTGCTGGAAAACTAATGCTCTCGCTGGTTTTTATTGCAGCTGCCAGCTGCTGGTGGACCTGAATGAGAAGAGATTGACCCAAAACTCGAATGATGGTGAGTGTGCTTGTTTGCTGTGCCATGCTGTGCCAGGCATTTGCTGCAATCAGGTCAGCGTAGGGAGTGTAGGAAGAGCACTGTCTGTCTTGTTATGAGTGGTAAATGTGTAATTTCTTTCTGTCTCTTCCTATAGAGGACAGTGCACGTTTGCTTTTCCTATAGAGGACAATGCACGTCTGCTTTTCCTGCTTGAGAAAATCCAACTGAGTGCCAGCTCACAGAGGAAGTATTTTTCCAGATAAACTCTCTGGGCATGCTGTTCTCTCCTGGTTCAACCCACAAGGTTCCACCCATGCAGAGGTTATTCCTGTGCCCATCTTCCAAAGCCCAGGCTCCATGAAGGTGAGCACTGTTTTGCTGATGATCTTCGCTGGAACACAGCTGCCCTAAAAATTGTTGGAAAGTGGAAACAGAGCTGCCCTTCATGTCCTGAAATGCAGCTGCTCTGGAGGTGTGGGTCCTGGCAGCTTTGTGTGCATAGCTGTAGTCCTGGGGCTGTTGAGAGCTGGCTGTGTAGGGGCCTGGAGGTGGCACAAGAGCAGAGGGCACTTCTGATTCTTGTGCAAGCAGCCTGACCAGCTTCCATTTGTTTCTTGCAGGCACAGATGAAGATGCCATCACTGACGGCTTGACCAAACTCAATGCTTCCCAACGTCAACGAGTTCTGATCACCTACAAGAGCACTCCTGCAGGTAGGTGCTCTGCAGAGATGTGTGAACGTGGTTGGGTCACTGGGTGAAAAGCGAAAAATGACCCAGCCTCCATAAGAGAAAGGTCAGCAGAGACTTTACCTGGCCAAGGTTGTTTTGTTCCTGTTCAGTTCAGTGCAGTTGTTGATGCAAGGAGGGTTGGAGCCTGAAGAGAAGTGGTGAGCAGCTCAGTTCCTTCTGTCCTCGAAGGCCGCGCCTTCTGCCAGCTCCTTTCTCCTCTCTTGGCCTTCTAGGGTTTGATCGATGACTGGAAGTGACTTGAAGCTGAGTGGGAATTCTGAGAGGGTGATGATTGGGATGATGACCGCCAGCACCGTGTGTGACGTGCAGAACTAAGGAGGGCTGTGAAGGTTTGGAAGTCTTCCTTTCGAATGGCTCAAGTTCTGGCCAAGGACTTGCTGCTTTGTTATGTACGTCTTCTCATTTATTAACTCTTAAAGAAACCTGGCTGCACGTCACAAGCAGGTGCTGGTATCTGAAATCTTGCTTGGCGATTCCCTAGGGAGCAGGAACAGGTGAAGGCTGCCTGATTGAAATTCTGGCTTCTCGCACCAGTGAAGAGATTGGTCACATTGATGAGAACTGCGAGCTTCGTAAGCAGAGCAAAAGGCCAGGCCTTGTCCTGCTGCCTGCCATCAGTGTGTGTGTGTGCAGGCAGGCGTGATAGGAAGGAGTCTGGGGAGCTTTCAGGTGTGACAAACTGGCCAACCTGGGTGTTGCTGTTTGTGCAGAGAGAAGCTAGACTGGAATTTCAGCAGCAGCTGAACTGGTGTAACTGAAATGGGGAGGAGCATTCTGTCTGTCAGCGGGACGTGTGGCTCTCTTGCCAGTTTCTTGCTGTCTGTGCTTCTTAATTGGAGGCTGCAGCACTGATGATGATGGCTGGAGCGCTGCAGTGATGCCGAGAGATGCAGCCAGGTGATGGCTGGCAAATGTTGTGGGCAGCACCCAGGTGGTGGCCCTGCTCCTTACGGATGCTGTGTGTGTTCCTGCTGGAAGCTGGCTGCTCCCTTGAGGATGGCGTCGTATCTGACACATCTGCCGTGTTCCCAAGGGTCCTCGTGTCCCTCGTGGCGCTGAGCCACGCTGAGGGAGAAGGGGCTGAATGTTCAGAGCTGTGGGCACAGCTCTGCACTCAGTGGTGAGGAGCTCCAGGCTGGCTTTTTCTCACCCTGTGCGTCCCATGGCTGCTCCTCAAGCCCAGCTTCTGCAGGGAGGGGGCTCTGACTCTGGCTGTGCGTGAGTGCTGTGGGCTCTTCTTTAAACATGCCAGTAAAGTGGGTTGCTGCTCGTTTCAGAAGGAGCCCAAAGCACACTTGAGCTGTGTTTCGCTGTGTTTGTGAGCTGTGTTCCCTTTGAAGGACTCCATTATCCATCTCCAGCACCCGTTCCTGAATGGGGAGTTCTCAGGAGTTGCTTCCAGTAGATGCTCTGGTGAACCGAGTCTTCTCTCCTTGTGTCCTTGCAGAGGTGAGGGAATGCATGTGGATGATGGCCTTGCTCAGCAGATGCTCAGGTGTGTAGTAATGTGCTTCCCAATCTATTCTTGTGTGTGTGATGCATGGTGAAGAGAAGCCAGCCTGTGAAATGGGAATAATGGCTCTAGTCTCGTTTGCAAGCCTCTAATGAGAGTCTGTAGACTGGCTGGCTGCTTGGCAGGGGCAGTGACATTTTGGCTGTGGATTGCCGTGCCTGGTTGGTGCTTGCTGGAAAATATCCATGGTCTAGACAAGCACGGGCCAGCAGTGCTCTAGCTGCAGGAATTAAAGATCTCCTGTATGCCCAGCCTTCTCCATCAGCCTTACTTTGTCATCCACAATGTCTGTCAGTGCCTGTATGAAGCGGGGGAGAAGAAATGGGGAACAGAGGAGGTGCAGCTGATGTCCATCCTCTGTACACGGAACAGGGATCACCTGCTGAGAGGCAGCACCCCTGCACAGTGTGCTGGGTTTTCCTTCCCTTCCTTGTTTGTGCGTGGTGCCCTTGCAGGAGCTCCGTGGCTGTTCAGTGGATGTGAACTCCTCTGAGGCAGCAGGTGTCCTGGAGAGAGCCCCAGTGCATCCATTCCATTCGGGCTGTTTCATTCCCTCCTGAGACTGAAAGGGGCTTCAGAAACCTCAGTACAACCGGCTGCAGCTCCAGCATGGAAAGCAGAGATCATGAAGTGATCTCCACGTCCTTGTGGAGCTCCAGCTTGTCAGCTTGCTTTCTGAGCGTGGAGCACGACCAGCCGTGCTGTGCTCTGTGTGTGTGTTGCCTGTGGGGCTGGAGGTGGGGAAGCTGCCCCAGTGACTGCACAAGGGACTTTGGCTGCACCGTGCCTGCTTGCAGGTCAGCCTCATCGTCTTGCTCTGTTTGCCTTGACTGGTGGGAGCGTAAGCCACCAGGTTTGTGTGTGGAGCCTTTGCTCTCAGCCCATTGCTGTCACTGGAATGGTAGCTATTAAAGAAGGACTGTCCGTAAAGCGCGTCTCATCAGCGCTGCCTGATGCCTCCTACCGAGCTGCCTTGTCCTGGGGTCGCGTGCCAAAGGTGCCAGCACCTCCTGCTGGGACTCCTGGATCACACTGCCCTTAGAACCCTGCTCGTGGTGCCTTTGTGATGTGCAATTCTCTACCAACCTCTGACCTTTCTCCTAAGCCCCACGCTCCTGCCTGCTAAGCTGTGCGTTCTTAGCACTACAGAACGTGGCTCTTGTTGGCTTTTGCAGGTGTTTGTAAGTGGTGGTGATGTTGGAAATGCCCAATGATTTTCCAGGACGGTGTCTTTGATAAAGCAGGTTTTATTTGCAATGGCAGTGTTGGGCCTCCTGCAAGCAGGAGCGCGCACAGAAAGCAGTGCTGCACCTTTTATGCCCTGCTGCCCGACGCTGATCCCTTTCTGCCCTGGCTCCTCACTGCTGAGTGCTGCAGGTTCGCACTCTGTTGCGACACTTCACTGATCCCACAAATAGCAAGTGCACACAGATCCTTGCCATGCAGACACAAACATCTCCGCTGGTTAATGGCCTTCTGACCATTGCTTTCTTAACAAACATCTGGTTGTCACTTTCGGATGCCTGCTTTACAGCATAAATGTAAACCTGACCTCTTCATTGTTTAATTACCCCCTTGGCATTTGCGCCCTTTACACTGGGTCACCGTTCTGGTCATCTGTCTGTCCTTGCATCGAGATAAGCTTGGAGGGAGGATAGAGGGGAGCATCCTGGATCTGCCTACGGCATCCTGAGATTGCCACAGAGTGGGACAGCTGTGCTTTGTGTAAAAGCCCTGGCTCCTTGAAAGCTTGTTAAATGCATTTCACGTTCGCTGGCTCACCAGTCTTACAGCACGTTTTCTAGTTCAGAATACTGTACCTACATTGTTTAAAACATTTAAGGTCTATTGCAACTGTGTGAGGAAGAATGTGTCGCACAGCGCAGTAACTGTGTGTCTAAAGTGTGTTCCTGATATGCAGATGATATCTCTCCTTGTCACATCAGCTACTCCTACAGACAAGTTACGGAATGCAAACACGTCGTGTTCTATTTCTTTAGGTCAGTTGTCCATCTCAACATCCAGCGCAGGAACAACATTTCATTCCCGCAGTGCATAATGCTGTGAAGGCATCGCAGGCCGCCCGCTCGTCTCCGCCGTGCTCAGGGGCTTTGCTGAGCTGCAGGCCCAGTGCTGCAGCCCCACAGCGCAGCCTCATGTCTGGTGACAGACTGCAGCTGGAAAACCCTGGCAGCGGAGGATGCTCCTGCCCCACAGAAGGACTCGCAGCTCCAGCGCCCTCAGTGCTGGAAGGAGGCTGCAGTGCCTCCACGCGATGGATGCGGTCCACCCGACAGCTCATGTGGCTCACTGTGCGAGGCCAGCAGGAAGAAAGGTGGGCACGGGTAAGGCTGCATCAGAAGTGAGTGCAGAGCTGTGGGGCCGGTGGTCCAGGGTGCGGGGGCCCAGGTGGTGCTGCGGGACAGGCGTGACAGGAGGGCACTGGTGGTGCTGCCCGTCCTCGGCTGCAGGCCTGGTGCTGGTGGCAGGGGCTCGGGTTCTGTGCCTGCAGCACCGATTTGCAGGTCGGTGTCTGCGTGGGAGGGATGGCACCCATCTCTCTAAGGGAGGCGAGGATGTTTTCGTCAGGAGGACGGCAGCTTCACAAGGGAGGCTTTGAACGAAGAGTGGGGAGGGCTGCTGAGCAACAGGATGGGGTGATGCGAGGGAGAGGGAGCAGAACATCGGCACCTGCAGGGTGGCAAGGAAATGCCTGGAGGCACCACGATGGGGAGATCCGCCAGAGCTCCAGAGGAGGTTCTGGTGGGTAATGGGGGGAGGCTGCTGGGCGAGAGGAACGGATGGACAGAGGGATCGACAGAGGAGAGAAGTGTTGGAGGGAGGGAGGGAGGGATGGACAAAGGGATGGAAGGGCCGTGGGATGGATGGAACGCTTGTTGGATGAGAGGATGGATGCAAATACAAGTGGATGGAGGGATGGCCAGGAAAACAGGATTCCTGCCGCAGAGAGCAGTGTGCCTCCATGGGCACTTGTGGGGGTGGCCCTGAGGGTATGGAACCCACCTGCCATTGCCTGGAGCCCATCGGTTCGTTGTAACAGCAGTACACTGACAGAGTGCCTGCTGCAATCCTTGAAACCACGGTGTGCTCGTGGATTTTGGCAGCCAACTGACAACGTGGTTTCAACATTGCTGAATATGCATTTGTTCTCCAGCAAAACAGTTCAGCATCTGCAGAGTGCTGCCAGTAACTGCAGTGGAACAGGGAGGAATTGTGAGAACACATTTCTGCCTAGAATGCTTTCCAATTTAGTAACTAATGCATTTTATTTTTACTCTTGTAGGATTATCATGAGCTCTAGATATGCAGCTAAAAGAGTCTGAAAACCAGGAGTCCAAACCCTTGTCTGTGGAAGGCCCACCTTGTTACCCAGCTCCCGAGCAAAGAAAAAGAAGAATCAAGTCTTCAGTCAGCACACACACTCCAGTCAGTCAGCTCCGCAATAAAAGCTACCTTTTCCATGCACCTCCACTTACGTGTGGCAGAAAAGTGTTCTGGGCATTCAGCACATTGGATTCACATTCAATTAGCAATCCAAACTCCAAACAGTTATTTATGATTTCTTCTCTCCTTCTGCACTCTCGTTTCCTCAAAGGGCGCTGCTTTACCCTGACTGCGCTGGCTCCTGCTTTTACCTTCACTGCTATTGGGGCTGCATTTTTGGCTCTGCCAGGCATCCCTGGTAGCCACACTCCTTAGTGCACGTGGTGTAAGATTTCTGTAACTTCTGGAGGGACGACCTTGTTTTTCCCAGATTGTGTTAAAGCCAGAGGAGGGGGAGATGGTGGGGAGGGAATGGGGTGAGGGGTGGGCGATGGGGAGCTGGAAGGGATGGAGTGGGGGGTGTGGGGGAGGAGAGCAGAATGGAGGACGTGGAAAGAGATGGATGGAGAACAGAGGGGAGAGGACGGGTGGAGAAGAGGATGGGTGGAAAACGTGGAAGGAGAGATGGACAGAAGCGAAGGGATGGAGAACAAGGGACCAAAGCACCAAACCCCTCTCACCTTTGGGCCCAGCTTCTTCTTCCATGCAGCTCCTGCGGCAGGCAGGGCCTCAGCTCTTCCCACATTCCTCCATTCCTGCAAGGTTGCTTTTTTTCATTCCTGCTTTGCTGTGCTATGGGTAGCTTTCCTACTTGCTTTCTTGTATATGTTACCATCCATTGCTTTTCACTTTTTATTCTCTTTTTGTTTCATTATTTTCCCTTCAACCCTCCCCACCCCCTCTCTCCTCTCCTCACCCCTACCTCCCATTTTTTCCTCCCCTCCCTCCCCTACTCTTTCCTCACCTTATGGGAAACTTTCCCAAATAGCTGCAGGCTTCTCCAAGTGCAGATTTGCCTGCCAGGTCTTAATAGACTAAGATGCAACTTTGTAGGAACAAAGTCAATACAAAACAAAAGAACAGAAGAACAGAAGAAACCCAAACACATTTCCACAAATGCCTTTGTTCACATCTACCCATTTCAATCACTGGATGTAAACGAAACCGAGGAGCTATTCCACTGAGCTGAGGCTTGGCTCTTGGTGAGAGGTGTTTTCTGAATGGCAATTTTTCATTTCGCTTCTGCTTTTCAACTTTCCTACATGTGCACATGTAGCACTGGGAACAGGAGCTGTCAGGCACACAGAATTGTGTGCTGTGGAACACCAGTGTGAGGTTGGCATTTACACTGAGCCATCAGATGCACACTGCAGGATTGTTCTGGGACCTGCAGCAATGATTCTGCACATCTCCTGAGAAAATTGATAGCACTGCACAGCATCCAGGGCAAGGAGAACTTTCTAAACGGAAAAACAGGTCAAAGAAACGGCAAAGGAATGGAGAACAGGAAGGATTAAAATTTGCAGTAGCAGCTTGAGAGCTGTCTGATAGACTGCAAGAAAAAAAATAGAAGCATTGTTCTTCTGTCCATCAAATAAGTACAAAAACGACGAAGCTAAATGTAACACAAATTACATTAACTGGCAGCTGTTAATAAGGAGACATTCACATCTGAAATGCTCCACAGAATTCCCAGAGATCACACCTTGCCACAGATGCCCCAGGTACCCTGAAAGGCAGTAAGGTCTGTGAGCTGCATTTCTGAGCTCTGTTGCAGAACTCAGCGAAGCTGAGATGACAGACAGCAGGACTTCAAATGCTGACGTACCGAACTGACACCAGGATTTCCTGCCTCTCTTTAATCACGAGCAGTTTTGAGCACAGCATTACTGCATCGCAACGTTTCAGTTCACTTCTAGAGCCTTCTGCCAGACGTGGGTTTCAGAGAGGGTTTGTAATGAGTGCAGCACCTGGCAAATGGGCACTGTGCCTGACGGCCGTGGAATCCAACATGCAGGAGTTTGCCATGAGACACGAGTTCCTGGATCACACAGCAGAATTCAGGGGCACTGAAAAGAGACGTGGTGTTGGTTTTTTCGGTAGGTCTCTGTGTGTAAAACCTTCCTTCACTATCTAACAACCAACAGCCCTTTATTCACAGTTAAGGTGTGTAGCTCCTAGAAGTTAGCACGTTCCCCTACCACCTCAGCACAGAGCTGTGGCTTTGTGCCTGCTCACCATGACATGCCGCCCTGCTGCTGCCAGTCAGCTTAAGGCCTCTGTTCAGAGACTGAACCCAGCGTGCCGGCTCTGCTTTGCTTTGCAGAGCAGTTCTGAAAGGCAACCAGGAACGTGAGCAGAGCTTACGTTGGAAGCAGAAAAGCAGCAACGGAGCGTCCGGTTCGCAGGCAAACCCAATGCACGCCTGGATTCCCTTTCTGCAAAAATGGGAGCTGAAAGTAGAAACTGAAATTATTCCCAGTATTTATTTCCTTTTCCATGAAAATTGGAGCCAGGCAATTTGACAGATTCCTGCTGCAGGTGCAGGCTCACCAACGCTGAGCACAGGGGAAGAATCCCCTCCCATCGCACCTGGCAATATTTTGCCTAACGCAGCCAGGAAGCCACCAGCCTTCTTAGTGGCACCGCTGGCTCCCGTTCCGCTCGGCGTCCACCAGGATCCCCAGGCTCTGTCCTGCAGAACTGCTCTCCAGCCGAGTGCCACCAGCACACAGCGGTGCCTGGGATCGTTTCTCCCCAGGTGCAGGACTCTGCACTGCTTAAGGAACTTCGTGAGACTCCAGTGATGAAGTTACTGCTGGACGGATCCTGTTTTAGCAGGGGGGTCGGACCAGGCGATCTCCAGAGGTTCTTTCCAGCCTCTACACTTCTACGATTCCGTCATTCTGTGTCGGCCACCTCACAACCTGCTGAGAGCACTGCATGGCTGCACGGCCCTCTGCGAGTCAGTCGCTGCCCCCAGCGTTGTGTCAGCTGCATCTTGAGGGCTCACCCTGCCCCGCTACCAGATCCTTGGTGAAGGCATCAGAACCCCTCAGGAACTCCTGTCATTCCTGGTCTCCAACAAGACTCGCATCCCTGAAATCCTCTGAAATACCCTTTTCTTTTTAAACATTCCCTGTCTGTACTTTCTTAGAGGTTTACGATTTTGCTTCCTTCATAAACCTATTAAATCTGCTTCCCATTGCTCAGGGGGTGTCTCAGCAGAATGAGATGGTTTAGCTGTGATTTAGCAGCTGAACATGAGCTCAACAGCTGGGAACGTAACTGCTCTGCTACCTGCTGCTGCTGCAACACGGAACAGTTACCAGGCTGCAGAAACTGAGTGTTTTACAATCACAATTGGTTCCAGGCTGTCATTTTCAGCAGACTGACATCTGTTACCACGCAAACAGAGAACAGTAGTGGGGAAGTCAGATCCCTCATTTGCTCTCAACAGCCCTGGGCAAGAGAGATGGTGACAGTGCAGATCCAACAGCACGCAGTGCTTTCTAGTTGGCTCCTTGTGTGAATTCACTCTCTGCAACAGCTGCCACCAAGCAAAATAAGACAACAAACCATTTTCCCCAGAGGTTCCCAGACTCTTCAGGTTATTACCAACCCCGATGGCATAAAATCAAGAATAATAATAAAAAAAACCCTCTTCACTTATGGCATCCTTAGGAAGAATCAGCAATACATTTAATTACTCACACAGTCATTAAACAGAGCTAAGCTGCCTGCTGCCCTTTTAGCCCCAGTTTGCTTTAACAAACTTTAGCCTGTACAATAACACAGGCAATCATCAGCACAAAGATCTTCAGGTAAGAGCAGAAGAAGGAAAGAGACGAAAGTCCCACGAAACAACAAACAGAAAGCCTAGGTAAGAGGACAGTGCTACAGCACTACAGCTCACAGCAGCTTCTTACCCACAGAGGCTTTCCCTTCCCCCCTTCCACAATACGATTCAATCACATCCCAGGCTCCTCCGCTAAACGAGCTGCCATCAATCCACGTCACATACACCAGTGGCCAATACAAGGCTTGTGCTGTCAGCTCACGGCCACCAACGATCCCTCCAGCACGGCATTTCTGCTGCCAGACCAACTGATTTCTCAGCTGCAATGCAGCTTACTGAAGGTATTGCTGGTCTCATTGCTGCTGAGAGTGGCAAATGAACCCAAGTCTGCCTGACAGCTCCGCATCGCTCACAGCAAAGCTGCACGAGCAAACAGAAAGCTTGCAGCTGCAGGCACTGAGCAACGTGCTTCACTCCTGACCTGCACAAGCAGGGGTAGAAGGAGCTCCACGCCGTTTGGCCTCGCCAAGGAATTCACACAGCTCTCGGTACCACCACTCACACACACACAGATCACTAACCAACAACTGCCACTGACTGAGGCTCAAAGCCAGAGGCACTCAGGGGCCTCCTCAGACCCAGCCCACAAAGTCTGAAGCACAACCCTTAACCCAAACAGCAAGAGGTTACAAAGGCAACAGCACACACAGCTTCTAGTTACCCCGAAAGGCAAAGAACTCAGTCTGGCTTGGGAGCCAGATAAGACAGAAGAGATGCTGGATGTCCTTTGGCATCAAGTGAAACATCGTGAGACGCCCTGATGCCCTCTCACAATTCTTTCTCCCTCCACCGGCACGAGAGCTGGCGTAAAAAGATGCAATGACGCCGCCACAGGCATCGCGGAGATGTTTAAAGGATAGGCCCGTGGTAAGGCTTTATTGACAGTTCTGCCCCTCTACATTTCACTCTAGATCTCCTTGTTTGGCCTGGAGAAGGGAAGGCTGCGCGGTGACCTCATTGCAGCCTTCCGTACATAAAGGGAGCCTACAAACAGGAGGGGAGTCGACTCTTTGATGGTGTGGCTGACGTCAGGCCAAGGGGACGTGGTGTTGAGTTGAAGATGGGATGTCAGGTTGGATTGTTCTTTACAGAGAGAGTGGTGAGACGCTGGAACCGGATGCCCAAAGAGGTTGTGGGTGCCCCATCCCTGGAGGTGATCAAGGCCAGGTTGGTTGGGGCCCTGGGCAGCCTGGTTTCATATGAGATGTGATGCAGATGGGACTCAAGCATCTGTTTTGCAGCCTCCAGTTGATCTCTGTCTGTCCTGGGCACCCCATGCCTGCATCAG